CTAATGCACAAGTCTAATGTGCTCTCTACATTGTTAAATTCAATGTCGCCCTAGAAAATCAACTCTATAAAAATAAAATGTTTACGCAGAGATGGAGGCACCGAATATCTTAATAATAATCTACAAAACTACCTCCAAACTCATGACATTTTGAATCAAATTAGTTGTATGTATACCCCGGAACAAAATGGCTTGCCGAACGCAAACATCAACATATTCTCGAGACCACAAGAACTCTCCTACATACTGCTCATCTTCCCTACCATCTGTGGCTCGATACTCTACTTACAACAGTGTATCTCATCAACCTTATGCCATCACCTACCACCACCAACAAATCCCCACATGGACTTCTATATCACAAAGCCCCACAGTATGACCCCTCAAAATATATGGATGTGCCTACTATCCTCTTCTACCACCTCCTACCAGACACAAACTTTCTCCCAAATCCCCATTATGTGTCTTCATTGGCCATGCCCAATCCTAAAAAGGCTACAAGTACCTCGACCCCAACACAGAAAACTCTATATATCCCAACACATCACCTTTGACGACTCTACCTTTCCCTATTCCAACAACCATTCAAACACCTCTACAACAACCACCACCACCCCACCAAACCCATATCTCCTAATCTCGACGTCTCTCACCGCATCCCTCTCGAACTCCTCAACAGCTCCATCATCTTTTCCATAACCATCTACCCCCTCTGCACAGTTACCCAATCTACCCACATCAAACCTCATCCCATCCCCACCTCCAGAAATACCTCTCAAACCCATTCACAATCCAATCACCCAATGATCACTCCGCTTCAAACCGGCTCCCTTAAACCATGCAAATCCTCGACCTTCACTCCATCACTTTCGACCCCACCAACTATGCTGAAGCTTCCAAACATCCACATTGGACAAACCTCAAGTCAAGCCTATCTTCTCATTTATGTTGACAACATCCTCCTTACCGATAACAATCCCCCTCTTCTCCTGATGCGAACATCAACATGAAGATTTGGCGCATCTATCACAGGAGGCGTCGTAAATCGACGGCTCTAATTTACGTTGTCATTTATGATTTATTATTTTATTTTATAAAGTTTAGCTATTATTTTATGTTATTTCTTGTTCTACCCCTAGGTTAGTTTATTTGAGTGTGGTGGCTCAAGGGGCATTTTTGTAATTTTTATTTTCTCATGTTATGGCCTATAAATAAGGGCCTTAAGCTATTGTAATGGATGGTTGATTAATATGAAAAATTGTTTCCCACACTTGTGTTCTTCTTGTGAGAGAGCGTTAGTGAGATTCCTATGAGAGGAATCGAAGTTGTCACCAGCCACAGGATGGGTCTGGGCTCGTGATTTGAGTCCCTTGGAGAAGGGAAATCGTATCACCCACCAACCTTAGAGACGGCCGGGTTTGTGGTTTTATTCTTTTCGTTATCTTTTCTTTTTCTCCTTGTCGACATCCCCATCTCCTCCTTCCACCGCCACCGGTCCCTTCCTCCTTCCCATTGAACCGCCAGTTTTAACAACCCCTCCATCACCCCAACTGAGAACCCCCACCTTTGCTCCAATTATTAATTGCCTTTCTTAAATTGGAGGGATTAAGTTAACGAATGATTTGAATTCAAAATTCAAATTTATTTATTGCTTAATTCATTCTTAATAATTAGGCATTTAATGATGTCATTAATTCTGAAATAAAATCTCAGAATTTTGAATTCAAAAATCCCGCCGGCCTCCCTTAATCCTTCCCTTGTAATAAATTAGTTTCCAATTAGGGAAGAGCTCTTCATTAATGCAAATTTGAATTCGAATTAGCATTATTCACATCATTAATCTCTCCCACCATTTAAGCCAATCGTCATTAATTCTCAAATCTGAATTTAAATTCAGATTTAAGACATTAATTCCCTCAAATCACTCTCCAAATTAAATCACCTCCACCTTGGCTTTAATTAATCATTATTTCCTATTCTCCCAATACTGCATTGGAAACTATTTCCTCTTGCTTGGCCGAATTCCTTAAGCTCCACTTCATCTCCCTGTTAATTCCTTCTCATTAACAGCTCATCTCATTACGGGAGAAATCCCCTCCGTTTCCTAAATCACATTAATTGAAATCTGCATCTAATTTCAGATTTCAATTAACCTCCCCATACTTATTTCTTTCTCATTCCTACTTTGGCTCTAAGGTATTTCCTGATACTAAAGGTTTGATTTAGGAAACAAGAACTCACGCCCTCTCAATCCCGTGGTTATTAAACTGCTGTCCAGCAGTTTTTCTCACTGATTTTGGGAAATTTAAACCTCTTGCATGCTGGCCAGATTTCTGGAATTAATCCCGTGCTTAATTCCCTCTCCATATTAACTTGCCTCCCAGTTGCTGTTTTACCCACAGCAAATTGCTGTCCAGCAATTCCTGCTGCATCCTGTGTGCTGTCCACAGATTCCTGCAGCCACCAACTGCTTTCCTGCACCCCGGGAGGTCTAAAATTGCTGTTCAAAAGCCTCCAGTAGCCTTATAACAGCTGCCCAAGGTTTATTCAAGCATTGGAGATTGCTGTCCATAATTTTCTAAGAGTCAAAGTTGCTGTTTAGACCCCTTGCTCTTCAAGACATTTATGATACAATCCATTCCCCGTTCTACATCATCTCCTCCACATCATCTCCTCCCTAATCCATCCATTCTCAATAAAAAATCTTGGAAGTCCCACAAACTTCCTAGGCATTCAAATCCTATCACACCACCAACAACTTCATCACTCCCAATCCTTCTATGCACATACCATCCTGCAATAAGTCGGTTGGAAAACTGCAATCCGCTAACTAATCCTTTTACTACCAAACCACCTCTCAATCCTCCTGTCGGCATCTTGCTCTCCAACCCCAACCTATCGTCATATCACAGGCTCTCTCCAATACCTAACATCAATACATTATGTTAACATATGCATGCTCCCTCTCCTCACCACTATCATCTCTTGACACGTCTCCTCCGCTGCATCAAAGGCACCTTACACTTTGGTCTTCTTATATCACATTCCACTCTCCACCTTTCGGCTTTCTCCGATGTTGACTGGGCCACCAACCTAAACACCAGGCGCTCCACCTCATAATATTGTTGCTTCCTCGACGACACCATCATTTCCTGGAAAGTAAAGAAACAACAAATCGTAGCTCGTTCCTCCACTGAAGCAGAATATCACTCCTTGGCGGTAGCTGCAATCGATATTATTTGGATCTGCCGTCTTCTCTCAGATTTCAACCTTCCACAATGTCAACCAATTGACATACACTGTGATAACACCTCCTCAATTGTCTTGGCAAACAATCTGGTATTCCATGCTCGGACTAAACATATCAACGTGGACTTTCACTTCATCCGTGATCATATTCAGTCCAAGGAAGTTTGAGTTGTACCCATCAACACTATTGATCAAGTTGAAGACATTTTAACCAAACTGCTACCCACACAAAGATATCTTCTACTTAGGACCAAACTAACTGTTCAACCTTTACTATTAGTTTGCAAGGATGTAAAAGCATCCTCTTCCATTACCACCGTGCGAAAACACGAGGAGTAGCTACCATAGTATCACAACCATAAACCCATAACAACCTCAAGCAATCCTAGCCTTACACCTATAAAGCTCACCACACACATTCCTATATAAATGCACACATCTACTAGGGATGTCAATATTTGACACGAACCGAAAACCCAACATGAACCCGACCCTAAAATTCCGGTTTAACGTCAACCCGGACCCGAAACGAGTCGGGTTCTGGTTCAACAAATCGACCAGTTTCAAAAACCCGGTCGGGTTCGAGTTGACCTAGAAACTCGAAATTGACCCGTTTTTGAACTGGAAACCCGAGATTGACCATTTTTACCCGATTTTGACCCATTTTTTAACCCGAAAACTAGCAATTTTTGGTCGGCCTCGGGGAATTCAGGTCATGTCGGGTTGACCCGAACTAGAAGCGGGTTGAGTTCAGGTCCGAAAAAATGACCCGTTTGCAAAAACGGGTCGGCTTCAGGTTGACCCGAATAGTTCTGAGTTAGTTTCAGGTTCGACCCGAATTCGACCCGTGACTCGAAATTGACATCCCTAACATCTACAGTAAAACTGTATTTTAGGAAAAACAGTAAAGCAGTAGAAATGAATTTCTATCCATAGCTTTCTTCTCTGCTTACTTTATTTGCACTACTATTCTCTGCTATTTGCTTTAACTTTACAGAAATTACAGTGACTTCATTAATTAGTTATAATAGTAAAGCAAAATCCAAAAATATAAATAGCTTCAACCTAACACTCACATCTCTTGTCTAGATTTTTTTTAGCATAAACAGTTTACAAACATTTTAATAACATTGCTGAAAGTTTATCAAATAGTTTCATATTAGATAATGATCAAAGAAAAGTAATTAATAAAAAATGGAGTGCCTCAACACATGTCATCTGATTAATCATATGCAAAACATCATCATTTGAGCTTTGTCTGTCAGATTATAGGAAAAAAAATCTGCCATCATGTTAGTGTCACTCTAACATTCCTGTATGTCATCTAATCAATCATAATTATTATATCAATTAAAATTTGCAAAGTAAAACCTTTAATTCCATCAAAATACATCATGACTAGGAAAATTTTGACGCATCTAAAATTATCATAATTAAAAACCTATTAACTATGTCAAACAAAATTTTATTGATCACACAAACTAAATGACATCCCGAACATACTAATAGTTCGTTTGCATATAAAATTTTCACTAAAACGATTTTCATTTCAAATAAGATTAGATAGAGGTCCTACCTTACCAATTTATGCCAATTATCCTAAATTTCAGTCCATGTAGAACCAACTTAGTTGAAATTTTTGATAAACTCTATAAAGCATGACAATTACATAATCTGATATTGTTCATTGTAATAACTATCATTAATTACATATAGTTAACAAAAATAGTACTCTGGGGTTTAGGGTTTACCATAAGCTTGAAGAAATAAATAAAGCGAAGAAAGAATTTGATGGTGAATCCGTTTCACTGACAATCTTAACCTGAGACGACTTTCCCCGCGATGGAAACAACAAAAAAAAAATTGAAAAAAAAAAGAGCTTACATGAAAGACGGTAAGGAAAGAAGAAGCTTACAGGAAAGGAGAAGGTGCAGTGTGCAAGAAGCCAAGAACACCGTTTTTTCCTTCAAGGCTCGAGCTTTGATCTTCAGGGGCTGTTTGGCACCAGGATTTATGCAGGATTTGAGCAGGACGGGATTTGAGCGCCCCGTAAATCTCACAGCCGAATAAATCCTCCGTTTCCCTCTTTTTTACGTAAATCCCGGATTTACTGAATCCTGTAGTTCGGCCGATTTACGTGATTTGGCAGAAGAAGCGCGCGAAAGGGAGAAAGCTATCCTCACAGCGAGCGAGCTCCCGTCGTTGCTTTCGACCAAAATGTCGTAACTTCCAATCCGACAGGAAGGGACCGTCGTCCAAGGAGCGAATTCGAACAGCAACGAAGGAGCCGAAGAAGCGACTCGTGTAATCTCTACACCTCCTGCGAAGCAACGAAGCAGAAGAGCAACGACCAAAAAGCAAACCCTAGACGCCTCCAACTTATTATTTATTAACTTAATTAATATATTTTAAAATATTAATAATTAAGAGAATTAATTAAATAATTAATAGTATAGTTAGTGCATAAATTAATTATCTAATTTATCTTAGTCAGTAATATAATTAGTAATTAAAAATTAATACAATTAGCTTAATTAATACAATTTGAAATAGAAATTATTAAATATATAATTAATACTTAATAGTGTAAATAATAATTAAATAATTAATGAGTAGTAGAATTCTTAAGTAATTAATGAGATAATTAATAATATAATTTATAATTAATCCTAACTAAATAATAATTAATTAAATTATCAGTAGTAGGATTAATAATTAAATAATTTTTTATTTCAAAATAATTTCAAATAGAATAAATATTATAATTGATACTTAAATAATTAATTAGTATTAGAATATTTAAATGATTAATGAGATAATTAACAATATAATGAATAATTAACTAATTAAATCATTAGTAGGAGTATTAGTTAAAAAAATAACCAATTAATTATATAATTATTAATATAATTAGATATCAAATACTTATTAAATCAACGCATAAGCAAGTAATTTAATAAATAATACTATAATTCATAATTAAATTAGTTTAATAATTAAATTATTTTTCATTATAATTTGTTACCTATAATTAAAATTAAAATTAATAAGTAAATTGTACTTAACATATAATTAAATTCATAATATATTAAATTATTTTTTAATTGAACCAACAGCCTCAAATCCTAGATTACGTTGTCAAACAATTTTATAAGATTCATACTATCTAAGGAAATTCTTAAGGTCAAAAGCAAACACCTTACCGGTTCAACATGCATTATACACTAGCTCATATAGAATAACAAAAGAAAAAATAATGTTGTTTGAACTTGAAAGTACTAATATAACCCAAAACTCTCAAGGTAAAATGGAGCTTCAAAAGCTCACAAATTTTTATATATGGATGAAAATTCTCAATAGATGTATCTCAATAAGCTCTTAAGCTATGCTTTGGAACATCTTATAGAGCTTGAAGTTGTTATGTATCAAGATACTAACATTTCTTCTTTATTCAAACTAAATGATTTAAGGTATTGAACATGTATGTCATCCTTGGAGAGAAGGGAAACACATATTGTGAGGAGCTTGTTGCAGGATTCCACATGATGCTAATCATGAAGAATATTATAAAAAAAGGTTCAGAGAACACTACAGGAAATTTTTATCGGCGTGTTTACAAAACAGCCAGAAAACTACTGATAACCGCCAGTAATGAGTGATTTTCCTGTAGTGGAAGCTGCTGAGGTCTCCTTCTAACTATCATGCATAGATGTAGTTCCTGGTGAACACCCATTCATTATCTATACAAATGAAGGTATCAATGTTGATGAGATCAATAATGCTCTAAAAAAGATTTCTAAGGCTGCTTCCAATTTCTGATTTGTTGATATGTGGGAGAATAAGCACATTGTTTTCTCATCAGTTTTGTTTGGATTAAAGTAGAGGAAATGAAGTTTTGATAAATTGTGAGCTAGTTATGAATCTGCAACTATTATTTCAAACTCTTTGATTCTTCTTTTTATTTCCTTACAGTCAAAATTCTTATATCAAAAACCTGCTTTCTTGGTTTTAAGTTCTACTAAGAAATCAGGACAAACTATTCTTTTGTTTCTCTACAGTTTGAGATCTAGCAATTGTTGATGTTGATATGTAATAAGCAGTAGATGAATCTTGAGCTTATATTTTTGTTATTAAATATTCGCGAGTTGCTCCAATATTTTCTACTATCATGAAGCAAAAAATTAACTATGAATATAACCATTATGATGAGTTGGTTTTTTTTTTTTTTTTTTTTTTTTCTTGCATGCCCTTTTTTTTTTTTTTTTTTCATTTTCTTGCATGCCCTAATGATTTTTTAGAGCAGAACATAAAAAAGAGAAAATTTATAGGCAGGAATATTTGAAAAGCTAAGGTAAGCGACGATAGGTTAAACAAAATCACCATGCTTTATCTTGATGCGTTACCAAAAGAATTAATCTAATCAAGTATGCATTTTGATGTGGTTTATAAATCTCAAAGCAACAGCGTATATGAGTCATAAATTTTAGAAACCATTTTTGAGATCATATGAATCCTATTTTCAAAAAATTTATAATTAAAGCAAAGTGATTAGTGAGATGAACTTAAGGGGACCAAGAATGACTTGATTTGAGTCTAAATGGACTCAAATCAATCACTGAGAAGCATAATTAGAAACTTCTTAAAGCTGTTTGGAAGGTCAAATGATCTCCAAATTTTAATTGCTTACAATCATAATGAGCCAGCCGATGAGATGAATCCTACAAGTCTAAGATCACTCAATTCGAAGTTCATTAAGGCATTTAGATGCTCAAAAATAGGATCAATCCGGAGCGTTCAATGGAGTGGCTTGATTTATGGTAGAAATGACTAGGACAACCCCTCTACAATATATATAATATGTCATATTTCTATAGGAGAACCTTTGGTAGTGATATTTTCCAAAGAAAAATCCAAGCCTTATTTGCAATTACATAATGTCGACATTATCCAATGTCGACACTCAACATTGTTGTCATCCAATGGCAATTGTCAACCAGCTCTTACATCCATCTTAGTATCACCAATCATCGTCTATTGACCAATAATGATGCTCGCCATTGCAACTATTAGATGTCAGTTGTTGGCCAATGCAGACAATCATACGCCATTATTAGACATTAGTCGTAGACCAATGACAATGCCCCTTCATTTCCACTGCTAAATGCCAATTGTTTACTAATGATGGTGTCCATCGTCACCAATACCAAATGATGCTTGTTGATCAATGTCAACGTATGTTATCTCCATTGTCATTTAGGCCATTGACTATTGCTGATGCCCACTAACAATTGGCTTTTATCAATCATAGAGTTGATCTAAAACATAACAACAAAAGTCATTTTCATTTATATTTCATTATAAATTTTCCATAAAAGGATAGTACAATATTTGACCAACATATTCATGAAAAATAAACTTTATTAATTTACATTAGCATATAAAATTTTCATAATACATATTTTCTTCATGCATTATATTTCTTCAAGAATCTCAAATTGATTAGAGAAATTGGAAAAGTTTCATCAAAAGATAGTTACTTAGGCTACCATTATAGTTATATAGACGGGAGTTCCAAGAATAAGCTGTTGCAAGAGATAGTGCTTGATACTATCAAATTCTTCTTGCAAGCTTTTATTCTATAAAAAATTGTCACCTAAGCTACAAATGATTGGCCTTTCCCAAATAAATTTCATATAAATTTTCTTAAAAAAAATAATTTTCCTTGAAGAATTCTTAATTGTGTAAGACAACTTTAATTTTCGAGGGCTCGATTTCTATGCACCTATGGCAAATGATAGAACCAAAAAATTTTCCTAATAATTCTAAAAAATATTTTAATAGCTTAATACCGAGGTATTTTTTTTTTATAATCACCTATCATTTATTTTTTATTACTAAATCATCAATATAGCATTTGACTTGATTATAAATTATATAAAAATTTAAAAGATTTGAGCTATCACCCATTCCTATATGCCAAAGGCCATCTTTATTTGCTTATAACCCAATGAATGGTCCATAAAAAAGAACAAGTCATACAATAATAGAAATCAATCATAAATTTTGTAATTGTTAATGAAAAAATTATCTTTTCAATATCACAAAAATCTACATAAAAATCATCTTTTGAATATGCCTCATTTAGGGCAAATATCATATACCATATGGTATACATAATTCTATTACAGCTTTTCTACTGAGGTAAATGGTAGAAGCAAATACCAGCTTTCAAGAACTTGCAAATCCTCTCCATTTTCAAGAACTTCCAAAAACAGGCTTCTTTATGTTTTGCCAAATTACATGAACATTCTCTCGAATAATTCCACAATGTACAAAAAGGGCTATTTAATAAAATATTTCTCATAAAAATGCTCCTCAAATATCCTCTCCATTGTCCATGTAAGGTAAGCTTTCATTAACAATAAAAAAAAAAACAAAGGAAACCTAATAAAATTGATGATGACTAACTATAACTTGAATTCTGAATAACAGGAAGATACTGCACCAGTCTTTAAGAATCAACACAGCAAACATAAATGGTACATACACTTCTGCAAGAGTAATTATTGTGTTCGGACACCGAACACGTTCAGACCTTCTGCAGGCTTCACCATCCATTTTTCATACTCAACCGGAGAGCCTTAGAGAAGCTTTGTGCAATAGTTATATCAAGTGAAAGAACCTAAGGTAAAAGAGGAGCGAGCTGTGTGCTGACAAGATCACCAAGAGCTCCACGGACATCCATCTGTAGACCATTAGGTATGCATTAATTGAAAGTAGACCTAATGAATATTTTCTTTTCCAATAGATAAGATTAAGGTTTCGTTTGGGAGGGCTTTCTTATTGCTTCTTAAAGCAGCTTCTTACTATAAAAATTGAAGTTTTTTGTACTAAAAAACTGCTTTAAGAAGCATAAAGAAAGCAGTCTCAAACGAAGCTTAAATGCATTCCTAGATGGATGATTATAATAAGTTGAATATGAATTCCATAGTAGGAAAAGATTTGGCAGGAAGGCTTTTAATATTAAACAACAATTATGTTCATTGAAGAAATGAGTACAAAAAACTTCCTAACAATGGACAATTTGATTAGTTTTGGACTACAGAGCACAAGTTGATAGAATTCAAGATATGAAGTAGCCCCAAAAGAAAATAACATTTAGCTTGAAGCAATATAAAAGGGGGATATTTTTACTGCAGCTGTGAAGTTAAAATAGTTACATGGGATCAAACAATACTATTTCATTTCTACAGTCACAATATTAGACTGAGAAATAGGTTTTGTTTGGGTCGGCTTTCTTACTTTTCTTAAAGCAACTTTCTAGCATAAAAATAAAAAATTTTATAATGAAAAAGTTGCTTTAAGAAGCAGTAAGAAAGCCGTCCCAAACGAAGTCTTAGTCAGAACATCCAATTTTGATCATTTGTTCTGGGTACTTATAACGCCGCCACACAAAGAACCGATTTGTGATATAAAATCGATGCTAAGTTATGTAAATCTAGCATGCATGATTTATAGAATTTTGTCCGTTATAACGACCAGCACTCGTCTCATCCCCAGCTCAAATGGACAAAAAGTTGAACACAGAAATAAATAAGTATTTGCTTTCTAATTAAAGTATAAGAACAACTATTGGAGATTCAACTTAGAGCAAGAAAATGTATTTTGAGATTCAAGATGAGAGTTAAAGTAAGAAATCATATAGTGCGCATTCAGCAGGAAAAGTTACCTGATCACAACACACGAGCTTTGTTATCAGAGGATAGAACTCTCTTAGATGACTTCTAAATATTTGGCTGTCCATGAGACACATTCCTTTGAGTACCTGGAGCGATAAAAACTCTTAGCCGTGACTCAAAACATCCATTTACGTACGCTTCAAGAGAGATGCAGAATGATAAAAGGAATAGGGAGTTTGTATTTACTTCACTAAATCTAGCAGCATGCGATCCGTAAGAACCCAAAAGGCGCTAATTAGTATTGCAATTGATAGCATAATCAAATTGGATATCTATTAAAAAAAAAACGATATTCCCTCATAGAGTGTTGTTTCTTGTTTACTCAACAAATAAACTGCGTTGAAGTAGAGAAACTAGTACGGGGGGGTAATTGCTCATTTAAAAATATATATATACAATCTATGCTTTCAGGCTTATACATATATAATTTTCTTTTACAGCTTAACTTCTTTAAATTATGACTATAATTCTCTTATTAACACAAAAGACCTGTATACATATTAATTACTTATTATCCTTATTTATATACTTGAGCTTTAGCTCACTAGTTGATTTATGTTGCAGGAAAGATTAAGGAGCTAGCTGGGTTTTAGGTAAGAAGTTTAGCTGCACTTTGTACATAACCTTTTGGGTGTATAGTATTTCTGGGGGTAAATAGAAGGTCGATCAATATGGTGTAAATTAAAGTTTTTGGGTATGTAACTTTTTATAGGAAAATTTTCGTAAAGCTTTGCATTTTATATTTATGAATATTGAGTATGCTTCTGAATACTTTAAAACATGAGATATAATCCAATAGTTGGAATTTAGAAGTTACTTTTTGCAGTAGTCTAGGCAGATTAAATTTCTACTGACTATATTCTGATGAGAGCAATAGTGTTGGTGGAAATTATATCTAATTGGATTATCCATCTCTATTACACCTCAGATTGCTTAAGGGGGTCAAAATGGCGTGTGACACATTCATAGCTATATTTTCAAGCCTATGATGCTCATATAGTCTTCTCTCAAAAATTTTTATGATGTTGTTTTTCCTCTTTTTTTATTTTTCCTCAAGATAGATATCCTATTAGTCACCTCTACCCTCGGATGAATTTTCCATTCATTTATCTTCTTCAATATAGATTTCTCATGTGAGAGATTTTGCTAGTTCAACATCACAGTCGAGAATCCATGATTCCTTCTTTAATAATATTTCAAATCTTCAGAGTAATTCCTTCATACCCAAGGTAACTGATATGATGTAAGATTCCTAGTTTTTATTATCAATATTGAGTTTTATTTGTGTCAGTATAATTGCATTTAATTAGTTATTTTATTTCCATAATTTTCATTTGTCAATTAGTAAGGGTCAAATGATCATTTAGTTTTTTGTACATGCACATAATTACTTTAATATTAGTAATGGTTAGCATGCTTATGAAGTATAGCTACAAGTATAAAAAGAATGCTTAGATTGTAATTGAAGATGGTTAATTAATGCATAAAGAAATGACATTTGTTCTTTGCAGTTTTCATCCAAAAAAAAAAAAGGTCCCAGATTATGTTAAAGTCCTAATTTAGTCCTAGATTTTTTTAAAAAAGGATCAAAATGATCTCCCCATTAGAACTAATGAAAATTGGAGTTAATTGTGTTAAAAATGAGGGTATTTTTGAAACATATTTTTTCAATAAAATTTTAAATAAATTTAATTTTCTACTTACCTTATTTACTTGTATATTACTACGCTCGCACACAAGCGAGAGTGGATTAAAATGAGACTAGGTGTCAAGCGAGTTGTAATAAATTTGTTTAGTATTTATGTTATTTTGACTCTATTGTAATAAAATAGATTAAGTTTAAATTTTTTGTTCCAGAATGTTAAAATTTTAATTGGAGTATTAATTTTATTAATATTTGATTTTTAGATAGATAAAACATATATTTAGTTGTTTAATTTTAAATTTGTTTACAGCTAACATTACTTCTCTTTTATTGATTGAAATTATATTTTTAGAGAAAATAAAATATATATTTCAAATGTCTAAATTATTTTATCATTATAATAAAATATCATTAATACATATTGTATAAACAAATATAACATGGTTCAAAGCTTGGCATGGTTAAAAAAGGCTAAGGCTCAACTCATACTCTAAAAAACTAAAATAAATTCAAAAACTCCAAACTCGAGTGCAGGGATTTGACCGATTGATTACACTCTAGATATATAAATTACAACATTTTGATGCTTCCAAGTAAATGAGGACACAAAACCCATGAGATGAGAAGAACATAAGCTTCCTATAAATGAACCTTTAAGCAGATGGTTTGGAAAATTTTTCTTGAAAAGTGAATAAGCAGATATTAGATCAATCCAAGGATGAATTGAAACATGCCATTGCAAATGAAAGAACATGTATGATTGCAAGGCTACGAGCTCAATATTTTATACCATGAAACCATAAGAAGATGCCAATTGCTCAAGGATTAAAAAAGAAATATTATTTACAACTTAGTAGCTTACCTTGACTACTATAGGAGCTCGCAAGTCAAGCACTCGATGGACATCTGCATTAGCACTCTCTATTGTAACTGGTTGGAGATCGGACGCTTCTTTTAGAATCTGTCCACAGAATGATACTAATTTCTCCTCTGCAAGCAATTTGAGCTTTTCTTCCGGGTTTTTTATTTCGGAATTTGTTCTTTCACTCCCAGATTCAATCTCACGGAAAGAACCATTTCTTTCTTGTTCATTATTATCACCGCTGCTAGTTGAAGTTGACTTTTGCAGGATATCTAAATATATAGACGTTCCTGCAATTTCCTGGCGAAGAAGATTCAAAGGTGGCCTGAAAAGCAGTAAGCTTATTAGATAGTCACCTCAAAAGTGGGGTGAAATTAAGTCGCTTTTGCAGACCTTTCTGGAGGTATCTGCTGCATTCGCATCCTGAGGTTTGAAGGAGAATTATATGAAGCAGCAAACTCTAAAACTGACAGCAAAATATCCATTATTGCAATCTTCTGTGGAGCTTTCAATCTGCTCCAATATCTCATCTGCCAGTTTCACGTAAACAAATGGTGCCAAATATGAGGGCCGAGACAGAATTGAAAGTAACATAGGCATGAAAAACATTTACCTGAATGCTATTAAGAACACCTAGAAGTAGTAGCTGGGTTACACATTTGCTCCTCACTGCCACCATAGGTAGGTCCTCATCATCGCCCTCATTGTAGATTGGCTCAATAGCTTCAGGTATCTGCACAGATTTTCAGAAAAATATAATGAAAACAGTATGGATATAATTCCACCAAAGGATGAAAGGATAATGTATCTCAGTGGGCTTTGCCATTTCTAAGCAGACATGAGTTGCATTAAACCAAAAACAGCAGGGAATGGGTAGAGCTGGAATAATCAAAACGATTCACGTAAATGCCAAAATATGTGTCACCTACAACTCAAATGTAGAATTCAGAAAATCAAATTGTAAGAGATTACGGCTATGTTCATCAACCCATCCCAAAATCTAAATTAGAAGCTCACTGAACCACGTATAACCTTTTAAATTAAAGAAGGATAAGAAAAAAAAAGGATGAATCCAAAGATAAATTAATTTCCTTAGGTTTTGGAAATGCCAAAACATTTTTATTCAAATTGAAATATTCAATTAGATGCTTAAAGTAGAGTACAACTATCCAATAAGAAAATTGACAAATGAAACAGACCAACAACTGCCTTTCCAAAGCTTCACATAATTGATCAAATTACGAGTAATGAGACTAGATCTGCAAACAAAATAAGGCATAATTCGCTTAGAGTTACCTAACACGAGATTTAAAAGAAGAACACATGCTTGGGACCTATAAGTAATTATCCTAGATTATATTTTCATTAAGATATGTAGAATGATTCTTATGTATAATTAAATTTATTCCACTGACGAATTAACTTTAATGGTGGCTTTTTTATGACACCAAGCGGAATTAAATAAATATCAAGAAATTTGCATCTAAAATATTTAAATGCAGCATTGACTTGAGACATTCAAACCGTTTTGTACTTCATTATCTCAACAATTAAGAATTTAAACACATTCTACAACAATTGTTTGCTTGTATCTCATATTTTCTAAAGATTTTACAATAACAAAGAAAATTAGGCTTAACCATATTAATTTTTTGAAAATTATTTATCATTCAACAATTGAGTAGATATTGAAAGCAGCCCAATTATCAGATGGGTTTTGCTCAATCTAATGGTATAGGTGTTCAAAATATGACCCCAAGGACCAAAAATAGTTCTAAAAACCTAGTTTTCGATGGATAAACACCAAAAAATATATGGATCTTAGTTCCATCTCATTTAATCTAATAATGATATTCTCAAGGATTTTTTCTGAGAATTATTATTGACATTTCCGAATTAATTGATATATCTGTGTTGCATAGCTTGCATATAGAAACCACAGAATCATGGATGAAGCATGAAGGGTGCGCTCGGCACCACGATCCATGTCATGCACACCCTGAACCTTCATGCAAGTGAAGAGCAGTGAACCAAGCAACATCCATGAAGGAATGCGGCCAAAACAGTATGGTGGCAAGGAGACCGCCAGCAATTCCACACCAAGCAAAACCTAAATAATCAAAACCAATATCAAAAGCCACCCTTAACATTCTAGGGCTGATGTTCATATCTTCATGTTGAGAATGTTCCGACATCCGCCTAGGAAATAATGTGATTTCCATAAACTAAAACCAAGTTTGATATATTTTGTATGTTCTCTTGGAAAAATAATCCGAATATGTTAATACTTAAAATTTTATAAATTGTCCGAAAAAAAAAAAGCTTCGCTCATCATCTTCTTCAGCATGTATGAACGAAGAAGCTCATTATCAAGCCATGAACGTACATAGAAAAAGTAGATTGGTTCATTATTCCTTTCCCCACAAAATGAGAGTGAAAGCACCTCAATGTCCTGAAAGCTCAGTTTTTCACTTCCATGATCATCTATTAGGCCTCAGATACTAACCCTTGGTTTATCCATTTCAATCAAGGCCCTAACATGCAAAATTGACCTCCAAATTTATAAGACCAAAAACATAGGCCTACATTGTTATCCCTTGACTTGCTCGGTAAAAGAAACATCAGTCACCCTATTATCAACTCCAGATAGCTCTGGATAACAAAAGTATTAAGAAGAAAATGACCATGCCCCACCCCACCCAACCTGGTACAAAAAACACAAACAAAGTACTGATACACAACAAATAACTGAAATTATTTGGATTATCTGCTTTCTTTCTCCATGACAACTCATCTTTAAAATTTCTTGTAGCTTGGGAAAATGGAAATCAAACAGTAAACTAGGATCAGCAAAATTATGTAAGCTGCGTTCAAATTGACAAGGAGCAGACAGGCAACCAATCATATCTCGAGCTCTTATTTGTTCTCATGATGCTGTTCACAAAGCCTATCAATTCTGCTTGTCAACATGTAGGCTTGTAGCCTTACTATATCATATCACACGTACTCTGCTCTTGTTATTTCAGAGCTCTCAAAAAGATATTCAGACGAAATTGTTCACATAAAAGGACATTTCATACACAAAACATAAGTAATACAAAATTTATGCAGGTATATTTCAGGTAATTTACCTAGCTTTTTTATATATATATATATTGCCATTTGATTATTGGATCTGGAAATATAGCTTACCTTCGCGGGTGAAGATGGCACAAGATCATCTGCAACAGCGCTCCTTGGTTTTGATGTGAGATTTCTGAGGAAAAGGTTATCCATCACGTTTCCGACAATCCTTTGACTAAATGTTTGACTCCGTTGAAAACCTGATGGTGATGGCACACCCGCAGACACACCAAGCATTTTTTAAGATTTACAATTTTTTTATAATGTTCAATGCCTGTTCTCTTTTTCAGGTTTTGAGGTTCAAAGGTGTTTCCCTAGCAATCGAGAATGGCAATAATGCCATCACAGCAAAAAAAATTATATACAAGAAGTGACAGCATACCGTTAGATTCCTCTGAACTGGCCACGAATTTCACTTCTTGATCATGTTGCAAGTTTGTTGTACTAGCATTGTTTTGTAAATTTTCACCCTCAGGCCTCAAAGATGCTAGATGTAATGCTCTTACATCATCATTACCATCATAATGAGCATCCTTAAAGGAAGTCTCACGTGGGCTGACATATAAACCATCATTCAGCAACTTTTGACTCTTTAAATTCTCAAATCCTAAGGAATTGAGAAGCTCAACGGGCTGAGTTGTGTAAGATGCATCTCTGCTTAGTCAAAATATGTTAGCACAGATTGCAAAAATTCCAAGAGAAACACCACTGATCTTACATACAATCAATATATACCTTATACTTTTCAGTAAAGTATCCCAGTCATTGTCACTGAATTGATGCCCCCCTACCTCAACGAGATGTACTAAAGCACCAAGAGAAATAGAAACAACAGCTTGGTCTGTCTTCTTTGCACAGTCAAGAAGTAAACTTAATAATGGTGGAAGCATGAAACATACCTCCTGCAAAATATAGTGAAAAAGAAACATACTTCCCTCAAAATATATTGAAAGATAAAGTGGGAAATAAGTTGAGTTGGTCATGTCATCAGTTAAAGTAGTGTCTTCCTAAGAAACATACCACATTACTTATGAAAAAATGGATCAACGAAAATCTAGAAATGTTTGTTGTTACCATTGTATGACTGCAATATCTCTATATATCAAATAGAACAATAGGAGGGTGAACTTCACTTCCCCACCCTTGCACTTATGGGTTTCCATTAAAAACACCAAAGCCCATAAGCACCTACACACTCTTTTGTCAATTAGTTCTTGGAGTACCATTGTTTATCATATGAACCTTTGTGTAAGTTTGTATCTATGGACCCTGTAGAAAAGTAGTGGCTAGGAAAGCTTGGTTTATTTATTATTCCAATAGATATTTATATAAACAAAACTATTAAAAGAATGGTTGGAAAAAAAATTATAATAGCCCAAAAGAAATAAAAATTCCTACTAGTGCTGTACTCTCCTAACTACTGTCCACCGTTCCTTGCCCGCTATCAGATCCAATTGGGCATGCTGATTGATGCCAAGGAAGCAATCTAAGACTTCATTCCTTCCTTTCTCATGTATGAAGAATACATGAGAGGGGTATTTCCTTGTAAAAAATGGATTTATAATCATACTTTCCTTTCAAGCATCCGCTAGGTCCTCCTCTCACTCCGTCAATTTTCCAACACTCCCCATCAAACTCGATAGAATATATCTACCATTTCAACTTTGTTTACAATATTTTTTATTGTGGGTTGTATACCTCTTTGATCATGTCGTACAAGATTGTGAGCGATGCTAATATCAAATTTATTGTCATAATATATCTTTGTGGGCTTTTCCCATCTCACTTTTAAATATTCTTAAATAATTATAATCGGTAGTACATAAATACCTTAAATAAAATTGCTCTAAATTCAAATTTCATATTAAACCTTGAAAAAACAGGTTTTTTCTTTCTCTTTCATATTGTAAAATTGATGCGGACATCCGACGGTGGACGATATTTAAAGGAAGAGTCGAAGATCAACGGCCGAGATCACTCCGTTTTATTTATTAATTGTATTTTGATTTAATTTTGCATTTTTTTTACCCTTTTTATTTAAGAGTCTTGTTTTATGTAAGCCCAAGGGGCAAATTTGTCTTTTAGTTTCTTTTGAGGCCTATATATAGAGGTCATTTCTCTTGTATTAGGAAAGATGGATTATTAATAATAAAATTGTGTTTTGCACTTTTGTTCTTTGGGAAGACCGTCAGTGAAATCCCTATGGGAGGGAATCAGAGTCTCCACCAGCCGCAAGATGTGTCCGGGCTTGTGGCATGAAGTCCCTTAATGAAGGGCATCATATCACCCTTCAGCCGTAGGATGTGTCTGGACTCATGATTCTATCCTTTTGTTTCTTTGTTTTGTTTCTCCTTATTTTTCCTGACCGCCACCTACCCCTTTCCCCCCTCCAAGCCGTCGGTCACCTTGTGGACCCAACTTCAACCCTAACTGCCACCTTTCCGTTCCCTCTTCCCCTTGGCTGAGATCCACCATGGTTCAACCCACCCGCCAACCACCTCCTTCCCTAGCCCCACTTCCCTCCAAAAATACCTTTTTCCTTATTTAGGTTGCCATTAATTTTGAAAGATTTTAAATTCAAAGTTAATCTAATTTGAATTTCAAATCCATCCAAACTCCCTCTTGATTACCTTTCTAAATTAGATTTTATTAATTTGGAAAGATAATCAATCTGATTTGAATTCAAATTCAAATTTCAAATTCTTTCCTAAATATCTAGGGTTAAATTAGGAAACCCCTTAAATCAATCCCAATCAATTTAAATTAAATTGGAGTAATTATCTCTCTTGCTAAAATTGAAATTCAATTTAGGAGAGCATCAACTCCACCAATCCACTCCCCAAACCCATGCATGCTGTCGGTTTTCCTTCCCCCTTGGAATTCAAAATTCATATGACCCCCACCCCTTCTCGTTCTACATCAAAAATTTCCTCCAAAAAGTCTATAATATCCTAATGTGGATATACTATCCACTAGTGACCCCTCACAATCAATATCAATATAACCTTTAAATTGTCGAGTATCATATACTTTATAGAGAATCCCTTTTTTGAGACTTGGTTTGAGGTACCTGAGAACTTTATAAACAGCTTGAAGGTAAGATACTTTTAGTTTACGCATGAATTAACTTATGAAACTTATTGAAAAGGTGATATCAAGCCGAGTGTGTGCTAGATATATTCGTTTCCCAAATAACTTTTGATACTGACCAATGTCTACTTCTGTTCCTTCATTTGCCTTTATTTTTGCCTAGCTTCATTGCAGTTCATATGGTCTATAATCAATCAGCTTTATTTATTTTAATACATCCAAAATACATTTTTATTGAGAGAAATTTTATTTGTTCTAATTCAACAATTTCTATACCCAGAAAGAATTTGAGTTTACCTAATTATTTGATTTCAAATTCTTCAGTAATTTTTTTTCTAAGTGATTCCTTTTCTTCATTATCATCAACCTTTTCTTCATTTTCACCACATGCAATAAATATATCATTGACATATATAATGAGAATTATATCTAATTCCATTCATGGCTTTGTAAATATGCCAAATCATGCTCTTCGGATTGTTTAATATCAATCGTGACTTTGTCAATCTACACAACTTATTTTCTTTGAACGAGCAATCAAATCCTAGTGGTGGATCCACATGAACCTTTTTCTTCAACACCTTCATGTAGGAAAGCACTTTTCACATCATACTATTACATGGACCATCTAAAGTTAATAGTTTGAGGAATTAGGCTGGGAGTTATATTCATTTTTGTAACACAAGCTAAAGCTTTTTGATAGCCAATTTCATAGGACAGAGCACATCATTTGCTTAGTAATCTTGCTTTATATCATTCCAAGCTTCCACCTATTTAAAAAAAAAAATCATTTGCATTGTATAACACTATTGTTTTGTACAATTTAACAATATCCCAAGTGTGATTTTTCTCCGGGGCATTCATCTCCTCTCATCATCTCATGACATCCTTCCAATTCTTATTTTCTAGTGCCTCAAATAAGATTTGTGGCATTTTAACAGAGTTGGAGCAGATGTTTGGAAGGTGGGCTTTATGATTAGGAGAGAATTTTTGAAAGGATGAGTATTGGGTGATGGGATATAAAGAAGAATATATTGTGATAAGAAGATCATTGTTACTTGATGGCAGTTTTCAGGCTTGAGCTTGCTAAAGATTTTGTTGCACGAATTTCTCCTAGAGACTTGAATGTATAGTTAATTAGAGTCCATGTAGCTGGAATGTCAAGATAGAATATAATAGTTTTATCAAATTTATCTTTTGGTTCGTTGTTCGCCCATGATGATAAGTTTAATTGAAAAAGTTTAACTTTTCATCAGATAAAACATCTTTTAAAGTGAAGAATTTTTTAGTAGTTCAATAATAACACCTCCTTTTTTAAGTGGAGGAACATATTAAAAAAATACATTTACATTTGAGTGCTCTAGGGTAAAGTTTATCTAAAGCTTTTTTAAGTGTAGAAATATATTAAAAAAATACATTTACATTTCATGGAATTTGATGTGACGAATATGATGAGTTCTTATGATAAATATGTGCATTCTTGCACTCAGCTTGCATCTGTTCCTGTGACATCTATTTTTAAAGCACAAAACGAACACAATTTTTTTAAAAAATTAAAACCAAATTTTATTATTCAAATTATTAAAAATATTCCCTTGCACTCCACAGAGCAAGTTGCTAGTATAATTTTAAAGTTGCAAACTTCACAAATTCATGTAGATTTCACATTACAATGGCAAGAAAGGAAAAGGCATCAAATATGAAAGAGTGGGATATGGCTCACATTCCATCTAAAATATGTTGAGGAAAGATATAAAAAAATTTGTTGAAGAAAGATAATTTGTACCTTGTAGAAAGTATTAAAAAGGTTGCATAACAACTGAAGTGAATGGATGCTAGTTTCACGGAGCCATCCATCCCCAGAGGAAATGAAACCATCCTGTCCAGCATATCGAACATGATCAAAAATAGGAAAGAGGACACGGTCAAAAATACTCTCCCAAAAAGCAGAGGAGAATTTACGGCCTCGCTCGTTCAGCAAATCAAATAGCACTTCGAGTGCACAATTCCGGACTTCTGATCTGGAGTCTAAAGTTAAATCAGAAAGTCCAGCCAACATTGGAAACCAGTAATGCTCAGTCACTTCAAAGTTTGTCTCTGGGTCAACATCCACAGGTTTAAGGGCTCCACCTGGGATAAAACCCTAGAAACAAATTGCAACAAATCAGATTTCTATTTCCACTAACAAACCAACAGCAGGTTCAATCATGAGGAAAGAAGAAACAAAGATAGAGCTTCCTTCTTCCCAATCAAGGATATAATTAAAATAAGAGGCTTTTAGAAAATTTATGCCAAAGAACGAGGATTCAAAATGAAAAAGGATAAACAAAAAAGTTAGTAGCATTACTCTATCCTAATCAGTCAGATGCAATAAAGTTGAAGCAATTTCAGAGAAGAAAAAAGCTAATACAAAAACAAAATCTGGTATCTGTTTAGTTCAAACAATAATTTAATAGGATTTTTTAATCAGTTTTTTAGAAAGATCAATACTCAAGTAAAATGATTTCAATGACAATTCATAAAGACACTAATTTTGATTGCTAAAACCAAGCTTTCCATCAAGTTGTTTATGGAAGTCCGAAACTATAAAATGTTAAATTAGGGCTTACAGAACAAACTTAAATTTAAAATTATGTACATTTCGTAGAAAGAATATGACAATGGAAGCAATAAAGAACTTCAGTTCACCATTTCGGTAGTGCTCCACCAAATTCACTACATGGATTCCCACCAGCGAGCCCAACAAGAAAATTACAAAAGAATACTAACCAACAGCTTAAGATTCTAGTGTAGCCCTATCGATAACATCCAAGTGCATATGGAAATAAACTCTATTAATGAACCCTGATCTCAATACAAATAATCTCTATGAAACTAACATGCAAATTGTTTAAAATAGGTTATTATCATAAGAGATAAGTCATATATGATAAGTTAATTTTGACTGAACAAAACTTTTTAGCTGGCTTCCTCTGCTAAATGCATTTAAAGGAGTTAAAACAAATGCCATTGTATAGGTAAACAAGTGGTCTTGAGCATGTGGACAGTTCAAAATGCTTGGTCCTTAGAGAAAGCTAAGGAATCATTTCCATGTTAGTCAACCAATATTCTCTTTTTATTTGGACATGACCCATCAAGTCTAGAAGGAATGCAATCTATATAGTAACATAATTTAAGCCAAGAAGAACAGTATAAACTATAGATTCATTGAACAAAATAATAGTTGATAAAGACAAAAAATGAAGGCAAACTTCAAAAACTTAATGTTATTCATCAAGCATAGGACCTTATAGTTTACAATAACACATAAAAAGCATTTTCACAAACCTCTGCTAGACGATCTTCACAAATACGAAGGAGGGCAATGGCCTTCAAACTTATCCGAGGAGACTTTTTATTGTTAGCAAATCTTATAAGACAATTCACACAGTCCATAAAGCAATCACCAACTACTTGATCGAAGTGCTCCAGGATAACTGCAACAAAAACAGTGATATCTCCTTAAATTGTAGAGGATAAGGAAATAAAGAGAACACACAAGAGCTGAATTAGCAAGAAGTCTACATAGTCTCAAAACTTTGGAGGATGATTCTGAACACCTACCCTGTTCAACATTCTCAAATGCTTTTTCAACGATGGATTCCAGTTCATCATCAGCAGCTGCAGTGAAGATCATAAACACACTCCGCCAACCAGACTTTATACGAGCAACCTTTGAACTTGTCATCTGAAAACTCAGTAATGGGATTTAGTTCATTATGTCTTCTCAAGAAAAATGTAACTGATGAGAATGCAATGGAAAAAAATTGATGCAGATGGTTAACCTGTACAACACAATCAACAATAAGAGCACGAATTTTTTCATTCCAACTGTTCCGCATAAGTATAACAAATGGTTTCAAAATATCATTCTGGAACGTGAAGTTGATGAGCTCATCACGCCCTAAATACTTCATGCCAAGCTGTCTCAAAGAATCGATGGCATACATAGCTATTTTTTCTTCATGGTGGCTCCCAGCATTAATAAAATGCTGTGCTAGGACTGACCAAATTCTAGCCCAGACCTATAAGAATCAGACAGTCATGTCAAGGTTGGTGAAGTAAAGCATAAACATTGTTGGTGAGTTTTTATTGCAGTATCTCAATCTTTTAAGAAAAGCATTTGATTACTTAAAATTTCATAACATTTTTTGTCATCTTTATCTGACTCAAATATAGATACAAAAATGTCTCAGAAGGTGGTCATGATTCTGTTAGCTTATTGAAGAGATTATTTTCCGTGTAAAAGCCAGTAAAAGTATTCCACAATAATAATCACAAAAAACTACTAAGCATCTACTTCAGCACACCATGTGGGATTAAATAGTAATGATTATAGATTGGATACATAATAACGCATTTGGACTGTGATAGGAAACACTTGTAGATCTCAAGTATTTTCTATCAATCTTTGGAAAACAGCGAGAATTCTTTACAAAAATCCACACAAAATCACAAAAACAGTAGATAATTTATATTATTTGATGAAAGGAACACGGAAAATAACAAGATACACTTGATCCTCAATTCGAGATGAGGATCGATCTCTCCCAAATCTCTAGACGCCGCTAGAGCCCAAAGAAAACCTAAATCTAAGAGATCTCAAATTTCAACCAAATTCAAGATGTCCTAACCCTAGGAAAATAAATTATTTAATGCATACAAATAAAAAGGAATTCCCTAAATAATCCCTAGTCCCTACATTCAATTTCCCTCCCAAAATTCCTTCCAAATCCTTCCAAAACCGGCTCCTGCGGCTTGCGGTCGCGTTCGGCGCATCCAGGGGTGGAAGAGTTCCGCCCCATTTAACGTGAGCCGGTCCCGTGTGGACCGGCTGGACCAGTCCATTGGACCGGTCTATCAGACTGCTACTCAATCACCAATATGCGTTGTTAAATCTCAACCTTACAATCCCAAAGATATCCACGGCTGTGAACAGTAATCCGTGGGAAGACTACATGGATTGCATTAATTCCTCCCATTGATTTAGGAATAATTGTATTATAAGAGTTATTTGTTTCCTTATTGATACACCTTGTATAGATCTATAAATAGGGAGTAGATTGCTTAATAAAATTCAAGCTTTTCCTCTCGAATTCTAGTTTTAACATGGTATCAGAGCCTATCGGGAGGCCTTCATCGCCGAACGATTCAACCTTCTGAATCTGCAAGAGCGCAACGCAGAAGTGTCGATCCTCTGTCGATCCCGACAGTTACTACTGCAGGCGGACACCTCGACTTCGTTAGGACTGTCGTCGAAGGAGCCTAGACGAACAGCCATGAAGGAAACGAAGGAGCAGTCATACCCATTTGAAACGTTCCGTGCGGAAGATACTTCCAAAGCCGATCGGAAGTCCGTCCCGATTGCTGAACGAGAGAAGGGAAAACCGATCCTACTCTCCCACTCGATCGACAAAACCGCACGAGCATCTTCCCACGCTCGGTGGAGGAACCCGTTCCGATCTCTGATCCAGCTCGGTGGAGGAGCCCGATAGTCGAAGGAGAGGAGTCGAGCAGCCGACCCGACTGGAAGGGAAGATCGTCGAAGGCGCCTGGTCCGCCCTCTCTTCGCGCGTACCCTAAGCTCCCCGGTCCGATTCTTTTAAAGAATTGGACAGTCGGTTTTTTAGTAAAACCGACAAGGTTTTGAAAAAAAAAAAAAATCTATCATCGGCCTTTATTGCCGACGACTAAAATCGGGGGATTTTTTTTTGGAAGCCTTCATTGCTATCCAAGAGTGTTTTTGATAGTCTTAATCACTATCATAATGTCAGAAATCAATTCCTCCGAAAGTATTGACCAGACGGAGGAGTCGATAGTGCACCAAGTTCGAGGTGATCTTCAAAACATACAACCTTCCTATCGTCTAAATGGGAAGTACTACCTGAAGTGGTCTCAATTTGTGAAGACCTACTTGAAGGGGAAAGGTAAAATACATCATCTTATTGGAGGAGGACCGAAAGAAAGAGATCCCAAATTTGGGGCATGGGATGAAGCAGACTCCATGATTATGTCATGGATGTGGAATTCCATGACTCCAGAAATTAGTGACATATTTATGTTCCTTTAAATGGCAAAGGACATATGGGATGCGGCCAGACAAACTTACTCCAAAGCTCGTGACGCGGCCCAAATCTTTGAAGATCAAAGCAAAGTGGGAAGACAAAGCAGGCAAGTAGACCGGACGAATATGCCTCAACCATTCGTTACAAAAATCTGTGGCAAGAACTATGATCCAACTATAAGATTATGTATGTTGAAACCTAGATGTCCCGGACGATGCTGCGATCCTAAAAGGAACTTCATTTGAATAAATGATAGAGGTATTAATGGAATTTTCTGTGCAGAAGGACTGTTAATGCAGAATTTGACTAAGATTAGAGTTCTATAATCTCAAAAGCAGCAAGAAGAGACACCAAGGTCAACTTCAACGAAACCATTCTCTCATATCGCGCAGAAGAAAGTCAGCACGAGGAGAAGTAATGGATTAGAACAAAGACAAGTTGAAGCTCTATCGTATAGCAATGATTTATGTGACAAGAATAGTCATGCGAGGAGAAGAATAAATCCTTCAAAGTGGGCAAAGACAAGGACTCACTTGGTGCAACTATTGCAAAAGTCAAGACACACAAAGGAAACGTGCGGAAAATACATGGTAACCCCCCAGCCAAGGGAGTGGAATCAAGAAAACCAAAAGGCAGCTGAAACCAAGGAGGCCAATCGATCACATGCCAACAACACCTTATCAAGTATAGCCAGAAAGCACGGGTCAGTCGTATGTGAGGAATTTCAACTAGAAGATATTGACCAAATTAAGAAACAACTCCTGGAGCTCTATGGAACAAAAAACAATCCAAAAATGCTGGTCATAATCTATCATGCTTGCAACTCTCAAAGGTAAGATCTCCATTTCTTTCAGTTTAAGTGACATGGGTCCACGAAAATCATCTAAAAAGAAATGTGTACATGGATAATTGATTCTGGAGCCACTAAGATAACCAGTGAAACGGACCACTCATCTAGGCCTCACCTCATAAGGCATCGCTTAATACTCCTTTGCCATAACAAATAAGAAAATCATCAACAAAATTGCAAATTCACCAAATAAGCGTTATTGGCTATGGTTCTCTTCCTCACGGGAGTAGCTGGGGGCTCAAGAAAAGCATCATTATATATCTCCCTTGGACTCACCCTGAAAAACGGTCCTCCACGTACCACATTATCCGCAACTCTAAATTCATACAAAAAATTTACTAATGAAACAGATATGTCAAGCGCTTTATTTAACCCTACTTATTGCTATATTTCAGGACCAGAGATCCCGGGGAAGAAGACATTTTGGACCATATCTGGCTAAGGAGAAAAGCTGGTATGTATGTCACTACCTGGGAAGAACCAAACCAATTTAATATATGCCTCCATGTTATCCCTATTAGGTCGATATTGATTCCATCTTATTGGCTTTCCTATCTCTATTAAAACATAGTTTCGGTTCATCTGTCTTTTTGATATACCTAAGACATAATGTATCACAAACTTGTTTCAAGAAAGATAGAAAATAAAAAATTGTTTCATTGTGAAACTGTGAGTTGGCGTAAACATAAAAGAACCTCATTCCCAAACAAAAGTGAGAGATGTGGACACTTACTTTCTACCTCATTCTATAAGATGGAGTATTTATGGGGACCCCAAAAAATCCTTCCTAATATCTCTGATGGGCACGCATAGGAGTTTCTGTGTCGTTTCGCAATTGCATATTTGGAATGCACTGAGTCTCTGGAATACTTTTATTCTTCTCTTTATTAAATATAAATTCTGATTGTTTTAGCTAACCATTTTTCTTGCCCAATCTTTCAATATCCATGATCCATGAATCAATTTGGTTGAATGCGATATAGATTTAATAACCATTTTCCACGATTTCCGAATAACACATAGCATAGAGGAGCGTATTATTTCAACTCTAGACCCGTTTCATTCTCACATCTTACCTTTCCAAAATTGATTAAGGGTATCATCCTGGCTTCAATGTGAGTCCTCACTGTTGTCACATCGCCAGACATTGCAATAACTAGGTGGTTGCTCAAAGCCCAGGAAAATGGTCAACCTATCTAGCTTAACCACCCTCAGAACTGCTTCCTATTTCACATACAATACACCACAAAATTAACCATCTTTGATGTGGGGGAATGCTCTTTAAATCATGCAGCCACTTGAATACTCTCACTAAACCGATTACTTCATTGCTTTAGGCACTCAAGTCTTGTCCAAATGTTGGAGTACTTCTTATTCATTCTTTTTTTACTCCAGAGTTTCGAACCATCATAATATTGCACTCCAATTATCCTTTGGGATGCCTTGATATGTTCATATCACAAAGCCTAATGGATGTCTGGTTTGCAGATTGAGCGAGGGGTGGAAAATTAGATCAAAGTAGTCGACTCAAATCATACGTGGTTGATTGTGTTGATTTCAGGCTAGGAAATCCCAAAAAGGTTTTGTATTAGTGTTGAGTCATGTTTCCTAACACATACAGAAAAACCTTTGTTTACTATGATGTTACCTTTGCATGAGAAAAATTCCTATTTCTACAAAATCATCTTACAGGGGATGATGAGTGAGAGTATAGAAAGAAAGATCATATAAGGACTGGCTCATTCTGGCTTTCTCGCACGCGCCAAAATTGAGACTAGGCACCTCTTGATATTCTCCAACAGCACGGCATCAAAACAAGTCCACGATACCCCTGAAACCTATAGAAAGGGAAAGTAAAATGACAACAGTTAGGAGATTTTGGGAGAAAGAGTTTACTCCAGACGTACAAGCTCAAGCTATACTCCAAACAGATCCAGAATCTGAACCATCTCCTGGAAATGAGTAAGTTCACCACCTCCTCCGTCATACCCATATAAAACTAACTGGCTATATCTTTCAACAATGTTTTTCATTCGTCACACAAAATTTCCTTTGTTTCATTTAGAAGATTATCCGTTTTATTCCACTAAAGATGTTTCTTGAGAAGAGC